CGATTTTACTCCTCTAGATAGAGTTTAATTGATTCTCTACATCTCTTCTACCTCCATTAGTTTGTAGAATACCAATACTTTTGTTGTTTTTGTGAGTGTGAATCATATGTCACATCCTCGTTTTGCATGTTCTGTTGCAGGGAAAATTGTACATGATAATGGAAATCTGTCGTAGTTTTGATGGAAATTTCAAAGAACATCTTGATGGAGTGTAAGTGTTCCATGTTTATGTTTTGTTAACATATATGAGTATACTATACTTTTATGTGGTCTAAGCTTGTCTTTATTATGTCTGATTGTCACAGTCGACCAGGAGGAGATAAAATATATTACGTCTTTGATAATCAGCTCCCGGCTGCATTGAAAAGATTGCAATTTGACAAGCAACTTTCAATGGAGAATGTAAGGAAACTTATAACTGAAGCTGATGGATATCAACCACATTTGATAGCTCCTGAACAAGGTTATCGTCGTCTCATTGAATCTTCCGTAATCTCTATTAAGGGTCCTGCTGAAGCAGCTGTTGATGCGGTATGAATTTTCGCCCCCTGTTGTTTGTACCCAAAATATCCTATAAATAATCGCACTGTGTATAATGGTTTCAGCTAGCTTTAAATCTTTTCTGAGTGGGTTAGATGTCCCCTTTTCTTCAGTCGTTGCTTCTTCTTTGCCCTTTTTTTGGGCATGCCCCTCTAGTATTACAGAAACTTAAATTATTGAGAGTTGGATTGAAACAGGTCCAAATGGAGCAAGCTGGATAATGAGGATTCATATAGCGAACCCAGCTAGACTGAGATTGGGGCCTTCCCCGTCCTGTGTCTATATCTGACCCTATCAGATTTTTTTTTTCCTCCCTGTCAACTTGACCTAGAAATCTGTTAATTTCCTATGAAAAACGAAAAAGTTGTGAAAGAAATCTATATTTAATTTTGTAGATTCATTTCTTAAAATTTGATCAGCTAATCTGTCTATTACGACTGTAGTTAGATGCTTTGTTGTCTGAAGTATTTTCTGCTTAATATGGGAGGTTTTTCTTTGTTATTATGGGCAAAAATCTTGAACTGTTAAGCAAACGAATTACTGAGTACGAGATTATTTCCTTTGTGATGATTGCAGGTTCATGCTATACTGAAGGAACTGATTCACAAGGCAATTAGTGAGACTGCGGCAAGTTCCCTTCTTTTTCTAATTACTGTTCCGAGCTTATGATACATAAATTGCTGTGAATGTCTCATTGTAATAATTATTTCTGTGTGTTAAAGGGTCCAACAACTGGACACGTGCTTCTATGTGCAGGAGCTAAAGCAGTATCCCTCCCTACGAGTAGAGGTCAGCAATGCAGCTGTTGAATCATTAGAAAGGATGAGGGATGAAAGCAAAAGAGCAACTCTTCAGCTGGTTGAAATGGAGTGTAGTTACCTGACCGTAGATTTCTTCCGGAAGCTTCCTCAAGATATGGAGAAGGGAGGAAATCCAACACATTCTATTTTTGACCGCTATAATGATTCCTATCTTCGAAGGATAGGTGAGTTGTGAATTAGCAATCTTCTCTTAATCCCTTGAAGTAAAATGCATATAAATTTATCGGTAATTACTCGTAAAATAGTCCTGTAATGATCTTTTTCCTGGTAAACTTTTTGTGCGGTTATTGTCTAACTGCCTCTTATGAACAGGGTCAAATGTCTTGTCTTATGTCAATATGGTTTGTGCTAGTTTGAGGAATTCTATTCCAAAGTCTGTTGTTCATTGCCAAGTACGGGAGGCCAAACGCAGCTTGCTTGACCATTTCTTCGCTGATTTAGGCAAGCAAGAGGTGAGAATCGGCCTCATTTCTTCAGCTAACTGAAACTCTTCTTCAGTATGGGGGTAGGAGAGGAGTGTAGCAATGATATGACTTACATGGATAGTAATGTTCACACCCACCCTCTTTCTTTTTGCAGGGAAAACAGCTGGGTACTTTGTTGGATGAGGATCCAGCAATTATGAAACGCCGCCTCTCTCTGGCGAAGAGACTTGAGTTGTACAGATCTGCTCAAGCTGAGATTGATTCAGTTGCATGGTCTAAATAAACACGATGACACAAGGTTCCATTTTTCATTACTAGTTCACCATGATTTTCGTAGGGATAGGTAGCCTGTGATTCTTTGCCTCGACATGTAATTCTTCTCGTAGTAGTAATTAGTAGTGATTATGTCAAGGCTGCTGCTAGTGTGGCTAGTCTTATTGACGGTACTAAAAGCCAAGTGCATCGACTTGATATTGGTAGTAGATAGAGTACTTCTTGCTTGTTTAGTAAAGAGTATATATTGAATGAGTACTTTGTCTTGCCTTCTCATACGCAATGAAATTCGGGACAAGTGCACAGATAGTGGACATTTTTATCCTGAAAAACTGAAATTCAGGATGTACTGGCTAATTCCTAAATATTAGCCCTTTAATGTGGCTGCCTGGTGTTATTTCTACATGAAATTCAGCTATATTGAAGTGTCATTTTTCAGGATCATTGCGCCTACAATATAGTGAAACATTAGCTAGTCACCGCCAAAGGATGTGGTGCAGTCGATGGGATTGCTCCTCCCTTAACCAGAGGTTTCGAGCTCGAGCCCTGGGTATGGAAAAATCCTTGGTAGGGAGCGTTACCCCCGAATGGGGCCCTATCCGGCACGAATTCTGATACAGTCGGGCTCCAATGCGGGTACATGATCCCGTGTTCTATATACTTACCGTTTAAAACATGTACAAGAAAGAAACAGGTGCAAAAAAAATGAAATTGTTTTAGCGAAATGCAAGTGATGATTAGAAGAAAGATTTGGCCTTTCTTTTGAAGAAAAAACATGAAGTTTTTGGATTAACAGATGCAGATAAATGACATGCAGTGAATAAATATATAAATATATTAAAGAGTAAATTCGGTTAGTGAGCTCTGTTGGTTTGGGTCCACTTAATAGGCAGAATAGCCTAGGAGACACTTGTACTTGTTCCGATTTGTCATCCCGGTCCCTACATTCCATAAAGTTTCATCCAGACACTTCAACTTAATCAAAACAAGACTTTTAAACCCTTCTGCCCCCACCCCCTCTCCTCTTCTTCTTCGCATCTCCCCCTTCGTTCTCGCCCCCCCCCCCCATTCTTATTCTGCCTCCCCCCCCCCTCCCCTCTTCTTCTTCAGTCCCTTCCCCCT